ATAATTTGATAGGGATTGCATTAAATCTGTAGATTGCTTTGGGTAGTATGGCTGTTTTAACAGTATTAATTCTTCTAATCCAAAAGCATGGGATATATTTCCATGCAGAAACTACTAGGACTGATAAGAGAATTTAGCAAGGTAGCAGGGTACAAGATTAACATACAGAAATATGTTGCATTTCTTTACCCTAACAATTAAATATCAGAAAAGGAAAGTTTAAAAAAAAATCCCTTTTAAAATTACATCAAAAAATAAAATAAAGTACTTAGGAATAAACCTGACCAAGGAGGTGAAATACTTGTATGCAGAGAACTATGAAACATTGATTAAGGAAATTAAAGATGATTTAAAGAAATGGAAAGCTATCCCATGCCTGAACTATGTAGATAGAGGGCTTGTTACAGGAATAGATCTATTACCAGAGATAGCTCCAAAGAATGTGTTAGTTGTGATGTGGGAAATTCTTAGAGATCAGAGACCATTCAGAGACCCATTGTCTCTGCCAGGCCCACCAAACATTTATTTACCATTTACTTTTCCTTCTTCATATGGATTGCTTTCCTCCCCTTTGAAATCCCAAATCACTACCCTCAACATCCTCTTTAGTCTTTAGCTGAAGATGGCATTTAAGATGAAGGTCTTCAGGCTTTTGAGTGAGTTACTCTGTTTTCCTGGGACTCTTCCAATGTATATATACAATTAAACTTTGATTTTTCTCCTGGCAATCTGCCTTCTGTCATTTTAGCTGCCAGCCAAAAGAACTAAGATTGAAAAGAGGGGAAATTTCCCCACCCCCACACTAAACATATACAGGTTTGAATTTAGAGTTTTTGTTTTATTTCATTCTTATTGCCTCCCAATAAATGACACATTTTTATCCTTCATGAATATATTTGAATTTCAAAACTTTTAATTTTTACAACATGGACTTAAGCTAGTTATCTCGTTAGCTATTGTAATTTAAGGATGATTTAAAAATCAAAATACCCTCCCAAAAAATGGGTACACATTTTTTTTTTATTATTTAAATCTTAGATTTAGGGTTATGTAATAAATTTACCTCATTTATTTATAAAACTTATTTCCATATATGTTACATATTACAATAGCCAAAATAATTACCAAAGGAAGCTATCAATCTTATTACAGACTTTCAGAAACCAAATCATAACCAAAAGAGACTGATTTATTGATTACCTTTTCTTACATTATTTGTATGTCTACTAGGTATTTTCTATAAAAATGTGGGTGCTGTTCCTTTGCATAATTTCTCAGAATTCTATTTTATTCTAAGATGTTCCCCCTTTGCATGTTTATCCTATTTTTTAGGCAAAGAGTGTTGAAATGTAGAGTTCAAGAAATATTTCTAATTTAAACACTCTACAGAGGTAGTAAGTATCTCTGAATATAATATATTTATGTAAATTTCTATGCTAGGATTTGAGCATAAAATCTGTATACATTTCAGTTATTAGCATCTCTTTCTGGGAATAAAGCAAAGGATGGATCATCCAGCAGAGAGAGTCTGATTACAAATCTCAGGCATTTTCTCTATTTTTAACACCCAACTTCTTACAATCTACTATTCTAAAATGGCAAAGTTCCCCTTGTTGCTGAAAGATTGGACCCCATCCCTGAGGAGCCAAACTGACACTCAGAGACAGGGTCTTGGAAATTAGAAGAAAAGAAACATCTGAATTACTTTGCCGGGCAAAGAGGACTCACAGCAGGTTAGTTCCTTCAAAAGTGTGAACCCCCCTTGGTGGTTGGGTAGGGGGATTATATAGCCATAGCTCAAACAATAAATAATCAACAGATTTATAAGACTTAGAATGGCATCCAATTCTATAGAAGCTAGTGGTTGTCAGTTTTTTGATCTCTTTATCTCATAAGTGCCCAAGGTGTGGTCTTCTTTATATTTAGCCTACTTTGTAAGGTTACAGTTCTGTGACTTCATTGGAGAACAAATCAGAAACCAAGTATGATTATTGCTTTTGATTACTGGAATAAAGCAAAAATAGTAAAATTAATAGCTTTCGTTTTAACTATGGGCCTGAAACTGTGATTAGCAACCGGTCAGCCAGATTAGTTGACCATTTTAAAGGCAAGCATAAGAATAAGCCATTTGTTGGCCTAAATGTGGCAATTTTATCAATCCTCCTTCACCCTGAGGTATAATGCTCCTTTCTAAATGTATATTGTATACAGAGACAACTAGTAAATCCAACAGAGATATAAGTGAGAAAAATAAACACTATTTTATTTGGTGTATTTAGAGAGGTTAATCACATCAAATAACTACAATTACACTGTGACACACATTGTAATTTAGAATGAACAGTGTGTGGAGCTCAGTAAGTATGCCTGAAGAGGTCAGAGATTTCAGAGAATGTGACATTTTAACTTAAAAAAAAATCTCAGCCTTTATTCTGATAAGAATTTGCAATCATTTCTAGTATGAATTTTTTAAATTATTGCATTTTACTGTCACTGGAGAGTAACATGATTGAAAGGAAATGAGAGATATCAGGATGGGGCAGGAAAATATCAGAGAGCAAAGCAGATCCACCAAATCTTTTCCTGTCCACGTGTTACTGAACAAAATTTTGTGTGCCTGATGCACAATGAGGCTAAACAAACAGATACATCGGAGTTTAGAGGAGAGAAAGGTTTATTGCAGGGATAAAGAAGGAAGATACGTGCCCCACACCCCCAAAACTCAAATTCCCTGAAAAATTTTTGGGGGAAAAGTTTTATAGGCAAAATTTGGGTTGAAGGCATCAGGGTGGGATTTTCTTCGGATTGGCTAGTGGGGAGGTAACAGGGCAGTGCTCCAGGAATCTTGTGCTCAGCCTCGTTACCATCCTCCACCAGGGTGGGGGCCTTAAGTTCCTGCAAAAGAGCTCAAAGGTATTGATTGTTGTGTATATTCCTTGAGGAGGAACCAGGACCCTGCCCCAAGGCTGTGCTATTGTTTCTTGACTGTTCCTCCCTTGTTCTGCATTCCCTCCCTTTTCTGACTAGCAACAATTTGAATCTTCCTTTTGAAACTCAGGAAAGGTCAAGGAGGCTGAAAGAAGCCTATGCCCTACTAACAAAAAATGGGGAACATGGAAAGGATTTGTATCAGGGAGCTCCCCATAGGGTTGTGCTGTTTCACATCGGGAGCTCTGGAATGCACACTGTCTGATAGAAGAGTATTGCACTAGGAGAAAATGTCAAGGACCTTGTACCACTCTTAGGTGGTTAGATAAGTGGGGCACTGGGCAGATAAGATGACAGTATGCCCACCTTCAGCATAAGGGGGCATTACTTCTTTTAAATGAATGCCAGAAAGAAACCAGTCAGAGCCCAACATCCACAACTGCATGGCAGCAACAGGACCTAAGTAGACATGACTCAATGCTCATTGTAGTATAATTAGCATTGTGGTTTAGGTCCCTGTCGTGGGTTTTTCTTTGTGCACCGTAAGTAAGGCCATGGGGAAAGGGGGCAAATATGACTAAGCACTCCAGGGGCAAGAGCTGTCAATTAATCAAGAGAACACCTCTAATTGAGGGCATAAGACAGAGGACTAAACAAAGACCACAGCCATCTGTCCTTGGATCAGCCCACCTCCTCTTCTTAGAGGTGTACTTTTGCTCTGCTAATAAATTGTTTCAAATCTTTTGCTACCCACTGCTTTGTCTCTCATAAATTCTTATCTTTTGGATATGACAAGAACTGGGGGTCTTTTTCCTTCCCCTTTTGGGGTAACACCACCACCTTGCTCAGTTGTTAGCCAAGAGGATGCCTCCAGAACAGCATGCCATATGTTGCCAAAACCTCTCTTAGTCACTGACCAGAGTCCAGCCCAAGGATAATGTGACCTTATCTTGAAAACAAAGGCTGACCCAGAAAAGCTACCAGCTGGAGGCTGTCAACTAAATTCTTCTCCCCAGATCTGGGAAGTGGGAGCTTTCTTGAAGGGGACTCTGAGCATCATGACTGCATGTCTGTCACAGCACTTAAAGGAGAGGTTAAATAAATATAATGTGAAATCCACCAATTACTGCAGTGAATTTGGTTAATATATTAATAATTACTTTATATCGTGAAAAGGAGCAGAATTTGTCACCCAAAAATATGTCTCTTTGGCTTTAGGATTACCTTGAGTTGGTTATTTTTAAGAAACAGTAGGCAGAGGAGATAACCAGTAGAAGATAACCCTTAGTAGGATAAAATAATATTTTTAAGGAAAAGTCTCCATTTGTGAGGCTGTCTTCCAACTATACCAGAAAGAAGAAGGTGACTAAATCTCTAGCAACTCTTATTAGTGGAGAAGGCAATGACCTAAATCTACACACCAGGCTTACCCTTACTTACTGTGATTCCTCTGCTAGCCTTCCACAACAGGTTCCCCCTGCCCCACCAACATCTTTTGCTTTCGGCTGGAGATAGTATTTAAAAGGTGGTGGCTTAAGCCATTTCAAGGAGCAACTCTGTTTTCCTTGGTATCTTCCATGTATGAAGGATGTTTGCTTTTTCTGTTTGCTTTTTCTCCTGTTAATCTATATTTTATTATGGGGGTGTCTCAGCCAAAAATCTAGAAGGGTAAAGGGAAAATTATTTTTCCTCCTCTGCAATAGTAGGCCATAAACCATCATCTACTTGATGATTTTAACTGTTTGGTTAGCTTTTATTGTTGTTGTTTTACTGGCATAGCTGATTTTATCTTGAACTTGTAAAGTCATTGATGAACTCAGCTTGGGTCCAGATGAAAAGGTAAAGTATGGACATGCAGGTGATGGATTTGAGACAGGCCACCCAAATATGCCATTTTAGCACATTGATTATTTTGAATTAAATTTATTGAAGAAATAGCCAATGCCAGAAGGACATGCTGACCCTCCTTTGTGCCCCTAAATGCAGGAAATAAACCTTCCATGTGAAAGGTACCCTCCCTGCCCTGGGAGGTAGAGGAATACCCTTATCACCAGGGAGAGCTGAAAAGGCCATATAAACAAGCCTTGTTACTTCTGCACTAATTTACTGCCCAAGCCCAAACTTCTTTCTCTGGTCAACTCTTCACATTTGTTGTTGTTGTTGTTGTTATTTTGTCAAAAATATGTAAAAGTTCCTGCTTTGATCACCTCTTCAAGTTCCACATTTCTATGAGCTCCCTTAGGTACAAATTAAATTTGTTTTTCTCTTATTAACCCATTTTATGTCAATTTAATTATTAGACCATCCAAAAAATCTAGAAGAGAAGAAGGAGAAGTTTTCCTACCTTACACAGATGACTTGGTTTCCATGGAAAAATAAACACATTCTATTGTGGCCTTTGGTAGCCTGAACAAGTAAGCTGTGCTTATTTTTAACTTACTGAAATTCTATCATATCCTTTCCTTACCCTTCACTTGATAGAGTCAGATGGTGCAGATAAGAGCCACATAATGCATGTGGGACACTGGAGATATTCCAGCAACATTAATCTCTGAGCTTTCTGCCAACAACAAAAAAAATGGAGGACACCTAAGTAGCCATGAGGGAAACAGATTTATGAGACACTTGAACTAGAACTCCTTAAAGTTAAATCCAGATTAAAGTTACAATCATCTCCTTGAGAAAAAGAGTGATCTTTCAATCTTTTGAAAATGCCCGTGCACCTTCTTCCAGTATTTTCCATTGGAAAAGAACTGTTTCAGCGTCAGGCTGGAAAAGTCCTAGCTGTGATGTGATGGAAAAGTACAAAGCTTGGGGTTACAAGACCTGCAATCAAACCTATCTTTGTGGCTAAATAGCTATATGACTGTGAATAAATCAGGTAAAATGTGTAGGCCTCAATTTTGTCATAGACAAAATATTAACAGTATCTCACAGTGTAATTTTCTTAGTCAAAAGGCCTAATATATATGAAAGTGTCTTGAAAATACTCAGTCTTCTTAAAAATATAAGATATTAATGGGAAAACCTGACTGAGAGAGATACTAAAATATTTGCTGCAGTATAGTTAGGGGAGAAATGAATAGAGATTTTGCCTCTACTATCCCTATGAAATAGAGCAGAAATATTCTACTCTCCAAGCTGGGCTCCCTCCTGTATAGCTATTGTCATCTAAAATCTACATTATTCAAGATTCAGCACAACTCATTCCTCCTCTATAATATTTCTCTGCTCATCTAAACTCTGTCACCTTATTAATTTCTTAAATCTTTATGTTAAGTTGTTACCTTATACTATTAATTTATTTTTACCAATTGTAACTGAATGGCACAAGGGGAAAATGCAATACTACTTGACTTGAATCAGGAGAGAAGGGCTTTTTGTCCCAGTTCATCTTTTTTTCTTTATGTTTTTGTCATTGTTGTTGTTACAAAATAAGAAGCATAAACAAGATAACTACCAAGATACCTTTCTGCTAGGGAAAAAAATGCACACATTATTACTCTACTGCTTAGTGTTTCTGTCACCCCATAAGGGGAAGGGAAAATACCCCAGTTCTTGTCATACCTGAAAGATGAGATTTCAGATGGGAGATGGTGCACTGTGTAGCAAAAGATTGTAAAGGATTTATTTAGGAAAGAAAAAGTACATCCCCAAGGACAGGAGGCAGGCTGATCCAAGGGAGGAAAAACAGTGATCTTTGCCCCTTTCTCTTATATCCTTGCTTAGGGGTGGTCTTTTGATTGATGGATGGCTCTTGCCCCTGGAAAGCTTAATCATGTTTGTTCCCTTTGCACACAGAAAAACCCGTGGCAGGTGTGGCCCTAACTGCAATGCTAATTATATTACAATGAGCATTGGGTCATGTCTGGTTAAGTCCTTTTCACAACTGAGCAGTTGCAGCTGTCAGGTTCATACTGATTTCTTGCTGGCATTCATTTAGAAGTAAAGTCCCTTGATGCTGGAGATGGGCACAACACCATCTTCCAGACCATCCTCCCTCTCCTCCACATTTCTGTCCAGTGGCCCCACTTATCTAACTACCTGACATTGCCTCCTGCGGAAAAAGCCTCTGTGTGTGTGTGCG